AAACTGGGTCCTACCATAGAACTCCCGGTTCTGGACGCCCAAGGGTAACAGAACCCCAAGATGACCGTTTTTGACTGTGAGAATTTTGGGAAACCGGCACTTTACGATTCATCAGCTCCAGGAAGTTCGAGGTGTCCAAATTTATGAACACACTGCTCGAATAAGATTGAATCAGTATGGACTGATTGCTTTTCGCCATGTAAGACGTCCAGAATTCCAGTCTTTGTCTATTACTCGCTATGTGGATGAAATTCATGAGTTCCCTATCGTCGATGAAATCAGCGACCATCCTATTCTAATGCACGATAATGCCGGTTAACATGTCGCATAATACGAAAGCACCTTCAACAGCATAATTTCAGCGTCTTAGCCTGCCCAGCCCGTTCTCCAGACTTGAAACCCCCCATCATTTGTAGGTTAACGTAAAAGACGAATAAGAGCACGTCCATTACTGATACACTCCACGATCTTGAAAGGACTCTTTGTGCAGAATGTGCTAACTTCCGGCAAAGAGACATTTCCAGACTGGTAGAAAATAAGCCGATGGTCTTTGAGATGTAATTAAGGAAGAAATACGCGATATTGAAATGTTAATTTAAATCGTAACTGTTTTATTTATTTTTATAATTTTTATTTTCCATTTTCTTTAACAATTTACAATTAATTGATTTTACTTGATAGCAAAAACTCAATTATTAAACGTTAAAAATACTTGAAACTTTGATTAGTATATAAAATTATATAGACATCAAGCTATTAAGTGGGTGGAATTTTTTCCAGTCAGCGTATATTCATTGTTTTCCTCGTTGCCTTCAGTTTAATACAGATTTTTCCCGAAATCATATCTGTAATATTTTATATTAAAGAAAAGAAAATAACATTCTTTCAGACAATGCGATAGATAAATAATTATTAAAACTCATAATGTTTTCTTTGCCGTGATTGTGTTATTCTGTGAGCTAAATTATAATTAAATACCAAGAAACATTTAATTTTCTTTTTAGCGTTCATAAGGCTATAGCATTTTTAAAACCTGCTTAATTAAGTTGGTCACTTCTATGTTGAACTTTTCTTTTCATTTCGTGAAATTGTATAATTTATGTTTCCAACTTTTTTCAGTTGAAGTACTGACTTGGATCAAAAGTTTCACAGTAACTGTGGTTTCATGAAAAACCTACAAAAAAATGATAATTTTTTTCCAAAATTTACATTACCTTTTTCAAACAACAATTTTTGTATTACCTAAGAGCAAAATCAGTCAAAATCCTCTCAAACATCAGACTATTTTAAATAATGTTGTTTAAAGTAAACCCCAAATTAGGATTTTTATATCGAGCAATGTTTTCCTCGTTTGCTTACCACACACTTTATCTTACCCGTTAACGTTTTAGTTTTAAATATTATAAGAGAAAAAAACGTTTTTTTCAGACGTTCAGAAAAATAAAAATAAATAGGAATTTAAACCCAAAACGTATATTTTATACATACAGTGACTCACATATTTGTTCACATCAGTAAACAATTTTCTATTATCTCTAGTTTGCAAATCCCGTATTTTTTAATCCAGACAACAGCAATAGGATTGAGTTCGTTGAACTGTTGGTAAACAAACATTCACCCTAATAGTTTTTATTTATGTTTATACCTTTGAATTGAGCCAGTTTATTACAAGTCTTCATGTGGAGAGTTTTGTGACTCGGGTTACTTCATTGCAAATTTCGCAAAAACCATTCAATAATTCGTCTCAAATTTGTTATCAAGTATCATCAATTTAGTTATTTTTCTTACATATTGAAAATATGTCCTTTCCTTAATGGTTATGATCTATTCCGTTTAATTACAGTATGAAGCCATTTTCAACATTTTTGAAAGATCAAATAATAAAATCTCTACAAGAAGGACTTCATTATCGAGAAATTTTAAAAAAATATAAATTGTTATTATTGGGGTAATATCAAAACCTGAAAGATCTTCCCGAATTTACGACAGTTGTTTTAAAAAGAAGAGGAGTGGTCATAAAACAAAATTTTCCGAGGCCAAAAGGCCTTGTATCTACGCGATCCGTTCGATCAGGACAGGTTGACAATGCTGTCCAAATTCAGTGTAGGCCGCGTGATAATGTTAATATGGATGTCAGTGCTGAAACAAACGGAGATGTTTGCTGAGGCCGGATTAAGAGCGACGGGAAGTGAAGAAACCATTGCTGACCAAAGAGTGGCTTGTTGATCGTGGTTTTAATGTCATGGAATGGTCCCCACAGCCACCTAACCTTAATCCAATTGAGCATTTGTGGGGAAAACTAAAAAATCTTTAGCCGATGCTGCAGGAGACGCTTCAAACATTGATCAACTTTGGGAAAAAACACAAGTTGAATGGGACCTAATTGATCCAGTACAGTTCAGAAATCTCGTGTAAAGTATGCCCAGAAGGACATACAAAATATTAAAGGACTTTCTATGATACAATCATATTATCGTTCGCACACGGTAATTTCTTTTCTATTATTTTAATAATTATGATAAAGGAACAATTGAATTTTTTGGGTGTTTTTTGTGTTAAGATAAATAAAATTATTAAAAAAACTACGTTTATTTGATGTCCTACAATTGTTTTGTAAAGTAAATAATGATATAACCCAATTTGCATTCAGCTGTGAACGAATCTATGAGTCACTGCATATATACTTACATTACTAGTCTTGTGATAATGTTCTCTTGCAAACTAAATTGAAATGGAATAACAAAAACTTTTAATTTTCTTCCTCGCGTTCATGAGATTATACCATCCTTCAAACAGTTTTAATTAAGTTGGCTATTTCTATGCTGAAGGTTTTTCCAAGATTCATTGAGTGAATTTGTATAATTTATGGTTCCAACTGTTCAAACTTGGTTAAAACTAGGAATAGCGGTACGACAATACGAGATTTTTAAAAAGAGACTTGCTTCCTATTATTATACCAATTCTGTAATACATTACGAACAAAAGTTGAACAGTAGAGAATTAAAAAGATTAAGACATTTATTGAAAGTTTACATGCTGCTGATGACGATGGATATTAGGAAGTCGGGTTTTTGTTCCCTAAGCACTACCGCCTTCTGGCTTGTTGTGATTATTCTCCTAACGAGTAGTAGTTAGTAGTAGTAATATATATATAAAGGTTGTTTCCATTAAGCGGTGCTTTATTTTTCAATCTATAATTGGGTCATCAGCGAATATACTTATTAATTTTTTTATTTGAGTTTAGTCCTCTATGAATGTAGCAATGATTTTGCCAGTCTTGGTGGGTGTTGTTTAAGCGTAAGCTTACTGCGTTATTTAGCACCTCTAGAGTTTATCCACCTCTCCTTTTGTCTTTTAGAGCCATCCTGATGAAGGATTCTATGTTTCTTTTTGTTATGAGCCAGATCGTCCTCTGGACGGTGGGTCCGCCTTTTGTGCTCTTTGGGTTAGATCTTTTAATGCTGAGCCAAATGTTCCCCAAATAGTAAAATACTTACATAATTTATTTTAGGTTTTGAGAAGAGAGAAGAAACCAATTTTACATATATGTAGATTGCAACCTGACTCTTTTTACATATGAGTTAAAGTGCGAAAGACACTGGGCTTTATAATAACCTTCTACAACCTTAATATTGTAATCATTTTCCATTATTTAGCCTGCTACTGCGTTTAGCGGGGAAAAACTGATTATAAAAAAAACCCGCTCTCACTTTTGATTCATAGTAATGATTTTAAATTATGTGAACAATTTAAAACTACTTTAAGTGAGAATCACCTTTTTGAGAGATAACAAATTTAAATAACTTATATGTACATATTTATAAATTAAGTATAAACATTATATGTATAATTCAAAAAGTAAAATAATAAATAGGTTGAATAAGTAGTATAAATAAATATAATAAATATTTAATTAGATAATAACTTAGGTAATAAGATAATAAATTGGATAATAAATAGATAATAAATTTGATAATAAATAAATATGTACATACATTCACAGATAAATATGTGATTGCATACATATGCACATGAACTCACATGTATCCACACTTTAAGAATAAATAAATAAATAATTAAATACATAAGTAAATGTAACGTGTGTACATGTGTGGGGATTTTTTTTAGGTTTTCAACTCTTATGCTTTAAACAGAATCTTGTCCCCTCTGGAACAGTCTCTTTTGAAAGTCAATTTGAAATTCTACGAAACAATATATATATTTTTTATTTACAAATTTTATTAAGGATCCAAACAAATTGTAATTACAAAGCGTGATATCTAAAGAATCTAGATTGAGAAGTAAATATTTTCTTACATTGTTGATTCATAATTGATGGCTATCACCTTTGGTGAAACTAAGAAGCTGCTCGCTTTGTTCAGGAGTATGTAAGTAAGGCCGACAAACATCAAGTATACGCGAACCTAAGTCCAAAACTACAAGCCGACCTGCAGTGAATTTCACGATTAATTTCTCAACGTAAAATTTCTCTGTTGAAAACTACGTGCTATGAGCATCGCAGCCAAACAAAGAGCACAAAGTTTTAGTTGCAAATGTCCCGCCGTTTCCCTTTTTGGAATTCATGAAGCATACAGTGGTTTAAATGCTCTTTTTGAAACTCCATCTTTTATGCTTTAAATTGTACCAAACAACTAAAGAAGTTCTAACAACAAAGACCGAAGCATAAGTCTTTCAAGTTAGATTTAAAAGACCACTTATGTAAACAAGAGAAATGTAGACAAAACATATCATTCACCATCTAATTGTTTATATATTTGAAAACCTTAGGTTCTTTCATCGCAAAAATAACTAGTTTATTTTTATCAGAAATAGTATGTAATTAATTTGCAGGAGCTATTTTTGTTAAATAACAAATCAAGTAAATATATATATATATATATTTGTTTAATAAAGACGGGAGATTTTTAAGATTTATTTTTTTGAAAGTGTACTTTAGCATTAATTAGTTTAGAATATAAAGTAAAACATAAATTGCTTACCCATCTAGAAGCATTTCGCCCCCGTTTTTGATCCAGTAGTTGATGGTATTGGGAAAAGCTTCGGCGTAGCATTTGAGTTCGACGTCAGTTCCGAGGGGCGATCCCAACAGCTGATTGGGCACCTTGATCGTTGGAGCAACTGGAAAAGCAAAGAATTCTGCACTTTGAGATGTCTACAAAAAGTAAAAGAAGCTATTAATGAGCTTATCTTAACTAACGGATTTACTTTCGACTTGACAAATTTATCTCAATGTCTGAAGGCTGATCATTTTACAGACTGTTTAACATCTGAACAATTTTACCTGCTTTGATGTTTAATTTTTCATGAAATTAAATATATAAAGACAATTCGAAGTTCTTTACACATTAATAAAAAAGTTGGAAAGTTAGTTAACATGAGAACTAACATAAACAAATTAGACAATTTTTTAAATTGTATAGAGATAAGTTTTCCAATGTTTTTATGTATTGCACTTAAAATGTATATATTTAAAGAAATCTTTAACATGAAAACAATGGTGCAATGGGATTAGTCAAAAAATGACCAAGTTATGACAAAAAGCTGCGTAATTTCGAGGAGGAGCTGTATATTTTACTGATTTTGGCAAAAACTCGAAATCCTCTCTGTCGAGAGAAAACTATTTCTTTGTATAGCTATTTCTTAATTATTAATTGTGTCAGGACTATTCTATTAACTTTACTGAACAATATGCAGAGGTCGAAGAAGAATATTTCGTGTTTTCCTTGAACCATCGCTAATCCTGTTCAACGTAATGCATTAGGAACCAGAGGGTAGTAGCTGCCATGCGGAAGAAAGCCCCATGTAGTGCCTTCTGGGGAGATTTTGGTAATGAAGCATCAAAAAGAATAGTCACGAGTCAGTGGTTGACACTTGTACAGTCTGGGCAGTTGGTCGCGAAGATGAGTGGCTAGAGATTTGTTTGATTTCTATGGAATGAGCGTTCTTTGTAGTGGAGTGTCTCCCTTCACATCGATACATCCTTTGTGGATTTCAGTTATTAAATGTTGTTATGAAATGTGAAGACTTGAATTACTTTATTATCGCTACACCGACGGATTCAGAAGAAAAGCCAATTTTGACAAATGATCGACTCTCCGAGATATGTGTCTCTCTCTAGCTCTGCTATTGACCACAATTTTCTTTTCTCAAAATTTACATCAGAAGTGGGGTTGGATTTACCATCCTCCTTCTGTTTTACAAATAAATATATACAATATGGGCTCGATGATTATAAAAATTCCTTTTTTGTAAAAAGGGTCCCTTTTTTCAATAATTAATATAAGCTAAGCGTAAAAGCAACCTCATGATCCATACCTATTCTGAAATGATTCCTATCCTAAATAAACTTGCTAATGTTAACCGTTTTCGAAATAAACGGGGAGAGCCATCTTATTGTTACAAAAAGCAAACCCTTTCTCACACTTCTACCACCAGGAATAACTCAGAAATGGTCGATCTTATCAAACTTTTCCTTTCAGAAAAAGTGATATACAAAAAGCTCTTGAATCAAATTCTACAATAAAAATATGGTATTTAAAATAACAAAGTTAGTGTAACTTCCCATCTAGTTGATGAAGTTACGTTAAATCTTTTACCACCACGCGATTCCTAGCCAAAATTAACTTGGTGTTTGCATAAGATCATTTTTTGCTAAAGTTATTCATTTGAGAATTAAATTGGAATACTGTAGGAGTTGATATATATATATATATATATGAAAAACAACTTTGTTATATTTAGCAAACTTCTACAACATCTTTCCATAAGAAAAGCTTTTCAGTTTTTTCATCAGAAATTACATAAGTGTTCACACTTTCGATCAAACTCAAATATATTTTAATTAATTAACTATATTGATTTATAATTTTTATGTAAAATGTGGTTGAAATGAACAATTAGTGACACGAGTGGGACTCGAACCCACGACCTTCGGTTCGATAGTGCTCAATCCGGTTGAGCTATCCGTGATTTCGATCCTTCGGTTTACTAGGACCAATAAAAAAATTTATTGACTAAAATTAAAAGGTTCATGTCCCGCTCATGGTCTTAATTTTTCATCTCAACCACACTACATAAAAAGTATAAATCAATTGAAATTATCGCTTTGGTTAACTATTACCCACAAAAACGTATAGATAACGTAATTCCATGTCGCAATTAGCACATTTTACCGAGAAAACATTACGTGAAAAATTAAACATAATTATACTTAAGCCCAAGTGCCGTTCTTGTGCCTATCACTTTTGTCATACTAAAAGTAAAAGTCATTACTACATTTGCCTGTATCATTTTTAAGGTTGAACACAGATTGCATTGCCGAAATCAAGCACAGACCCAAGACAGAAGATAACAAGAAATCTAATGGCATTTGATATATCAAAACAATCTTTATCCAAGACCAAATTGATCGGTGACGACGAAGTTACAGGTTCATCACTCTGTAAAATCCAAGAGGAAATTTCACGATGCCATTTATTATAAAATGTTAGAACTTCTGGGTCAGTAGTAATTATTACATTTGGCTGTTTCATCTAATGAAATTTCCTACTAAATAGTTCAAGCAACAAATATTTCAATAATAGTGTGATCTTGTTCTATTAATATACTGTTTTAGACTGCGTTGTCGGTTTCACTGGAGATAACAAATTTCCAAATCTCGTTTAACCTACCAAAAGAGGAACAGTAGCAGACAAAGAAAGGATAATAAAGACAAAGTTTTGACTCACCATCAGAACTGAAGAAGAAATCACAGATTAACAGTCACGTATATTGTAATTTACATTTTACCTTTAATAAAGGACGTACAATATTTTTTCGAATAGTTTTAGATTATCAAAAAAAAAATTATTAAAATAAGCAGGTATTTTAGAATAAGAAAAAGTTAGAAGGTATGGCCATTTCTTTCTAAGAAATTTAATACCCCAATTTCTTTAAAAGCCAACCAAATTGTTCTTGTTTTACGCAAAGTTTGTAAAATAAGTTAATTACATACCATTTCATTTATGACTACAATTTGTCCTCATTACTACAGTTATCTTAACCAATAGGTTCTTAAATTTTGAAGCATAAAATGGTATACACCATAAATTTAGGAGTTGCACGCATAGATTGAGATGATGACTTCGCCAAATGACTGTTTTCTCTATCAAATGAAGTTTCCTATTTATTTAATTTTATTATTAACTTTTTGCGTTGTATTTTATAATATATTGTTTGAAGTGTGGGCCATTCAACAGTATACATCATTGCCATTGAGAGAATTCTGTTTTATTCAAAACCTTTTCCGGCCCTTGACATGAGCCCTCTTCAATTTTGCTAAATTATATCTATTTTATAAAAAAAATTGTTTGAATTTGATTAAAAATATATTATATATTGTATATATTATATTATGTATAATATTGATAATACAATATTTTTCACATACCGGGTGGATGTAACAGTGTTGGGATTTTCATTCTATAATCTGTCTAAGGTATCATATTTTATCAACTATCACACTTTTTAAAAATACACATTCTTTTTCATATGTGTCTATAATATTACTATATTGTGCGCATATATTTAGTTTAGGATATGTATTTGCAACAAGTTTAAAGGCCGAAAACTGCTGATCTCGAGCGCTCAGCGTGTTTCTATTTCTTCTTCTGGTCTTTCACTCGTATTCTTCAACCTGCATCCATTTCAGTTTCCCTACCTGTTTCCGCCTCTCGGCTTTTGTATGAAGACTATGTTGATATCTTAACATGCTAGCATTTCGTTTGTACGTCAGATTTATACATCACCACCTTATACAAACATAGAAGTCAGGTCACATTCACGCCCCCAGAGTACTCAATATTCATCGGCGCAGGTTAAGCACATGGGCAAGTATACAACATTTGAATTATAAGAATTATTTTTAAAACGATAAATTGTTTATATAGATGATTAATGTTTAGTAACAGACGAGGATCAGAATATTTAATATTCAAGAAAGACAGTTTTAATATTTGCATGAATTATTATTTGTATTGACAGCGTACATAATTTTGCAGTCGTTAACTTCAAAATGATTCGAATTTATTCTTCAGACCAGTTTTTTATTACGACTAAAAAATAACGTAAATGGTAATCCTTTACTATAAACGTTTTAAACCTAAAGAAAAATCATAATCAAACTAAATAGAAACGAAACGGTAAGAACGTTTATGGGAGAAGTTTCTGTCCTCTCTGATGAAAGTGCGATTTGAACTTTCTTAATTTTGCAATCTAATTGCAAAAGTTTAAAAAAAATTGTTTCGTTTTAATTTCCAATTAGGTTTCTTTTTTAAGGAATAATTAAAATAGCCCCAGGGCTTCGGGGGAAATTTAAAAACGAATCCCATGTCGGAAGATCGTTTAAATTTTGCAAAATTTGTGAAAATTGAATTGGTCGTTGAAAATAAATACAGAACCGTTTCGTGTTGAATTTTCTATCTATCTTTATTCCGTTCGTGCCTCGATTCTAGAGTTTTGTTCAAGAATCTTTATCCATTTATATCTTATATACCGTTAAAAAATTGAATTTTCAAATCTAATTTAAATTTTTTTAACTGCCTAACAGATGTTTTAATTTTGATTCGTTGATTTTAATTTTCATCTTTAAACAGAAGCTTCAAATGATATAGGAATGAAGGGTTGACTTACATTTATCTTTGGATCCGGTGTTGGGGAAAGGTTTAAGGCATTCCTGAACCTAATATTTTTGACAATTAGTGGTGGTGAATTTGATACGGAAACAAACTTTACAATTTTAATGTAATTTAGATGCGTTTTTCCCCTTGCCCATTAGATTATCAAAAAGTTAGTAAAACAAATAGTTTTCTTACGATCCGGTTCAGATCAATTTAAGTCTTTGTGAACTCAGAGATAAAAGTACTTATACAGATTGGGAAGAAATTATATAATGAGGAAAAGAGAAAAGAACTATTATAAAGTTACAACATGATTATGTGAGGACTGATTACCGCTACTGATTTATATAAGCTCAAATCTGCACATGACATTGTTGAGCCTATCAGCTGGGCAATTCCAGCTTTTGTAATTTAAAATTAATTAATGGCAGGATTCGCTAATTGTCCACCCCGGGTGTGGGC